CTGCACGCCTGCCTCTGTGTCAGAGGCCACAGTGAGGGGCGACAAGCAGCTGGGCTGCAAGGGGAGCTGGTTTTTAAAGTGGCTCCCCTCGTAGACCAGCTCCCACCTGGTACCCCACGCTAGCAGCTCGGAATGGCAGGGGGCTCCTTGGGAGTGGGGCCGGAGTGCACTGGCTGCCGGCCCCACCCCCGGGACTATAGAATAGTTGAGTCACCGATGAGAATTTGTGAGTTTAATTGACTATTCAATTAACTGATATTTAACATCCCTACTACACACTTTGTATGCTTCTTGTAAGTTAAATAAAGATATTTGAAAGTGTAGAAAAACATCCAAAATATTTAAAATAAATTTAAACTGGCATTGTTGCTGTTTAAGCAATATTCATTTGATTAATCATGACTATTTTATATATCTTACTGTTGATTGTGATTTTTTTTTAATCGCTTGACAGCCCTAGTTTTAAGTTTAGACAAACTTTAGACTTTTGTAAGGAGTTAAATTATATCTTCTTATTTTGATGAGTCTGATTTTCTTCAGAGTTTGTGATTGTGTTTCAGCTAGATATTTATCAAGAGATTTTAATATTTTTGTTATAGATCATTTTCTTGCTCATCCTAGAGTGCATCCTCTCCTTTGTCTTTTTAATCTTTTAATCTTTTGATATAGAAAGTTGGATGTATTTTTGTTGATATCATGGAATGCTAATCTTATCAATAACAAGTGATTGCATATTTTATGGTTATAGTGATCATGAAAAATGAATGCTTAAAGTATTATTCCTAGAATGAATGCTAATTCTAGATGAAGCCTGTATCTAAACGTTGTCAGCAATGCAGCTTTGGCATTTACTCTAACTCTTTATAACATATTACAGTTCCACAGATATCCCTCAAGTCACCTTCCAGATTCACTGACTTAAAAGTTCCAGTTTCTTTGGAGTATAATGTAAATAATTCAACCAAAAATAATGTGTAATTGGTAAGGTCTTGTCTTCCCAACTATTCAGTTCAGAATGTATCTTTAGAGTAGACTTGCAATGTTTCAGACTCTAATGTAGTAGATTGTTGTTGTGTTTTTAAATAATTCTGCATACACAAGACTTACATTGACCATAATAATAGTTCCAGATTTGATAAATGATTCTTTCAGGTTGTTGGTTTTAGCTGTTTTTTTTTATATTAAACAAGTTAACTGATTTCTAAAACTTTGTGAAATACAATTTAAATAATTGCAGATGTATTAGATTTTTTAGGACCTTTCAACCATGTTATTTTATTTATAATATTTTTGGCAGTACTTTAACATTCCTTCCCCAACATAATGCTATAACAGCAGTGTCAAATACTGTGTCTCAGGGGGCCATATTCCCTTATTAATAGAATTGTGTGTCATGAGCTGGAGTAAAAATTTAGGACTACATCGTGCTGTCCAGCCACAGCTGAACCTCATGAGTGTCAACAGGAGTTTGCACATGGTGAAATATGGTCTTTATACAATAACTGAACTTTCAGTTATTATTTCCACCTTCCCCCGTCCTATCCAACTAAGTCCTATCAAACTAAGATTGATAGTGGAGAAAGTTCAGCGAAAGAAGAACATCTACAATTTCTATGTTAATTTTCAGAAAGCATTTGACAGTACAGGCAGTCCCTGAGTTACGTGGATCCGACTTATGTCGGATCCGCAGTTACGAACGGGGCTTTTCTCGCCCCGGACGACGGGAGCGGCGGGACGCCCAGATGCGCCGCGGTCCGCCGCCCCCGTCCTCCGGGGCGAGAAAAGCTGCTCCCCGTCTCCCTGGTCTGCAGGGAGATGGGGAGCAAAGCCTTGGAGCACGCCCGCAGCGAGACAGCCCGGGCGCGCTTGAGCTGTCCCCCTGCGGGCGTGCTCCGCGGCTTTGCTCCCCGTCTCCCTGGTCTGACCAGCAGACCAGGGAGATGGGGAGCAAAGCCTCAGAGCATGCCAGCAGTGAGACAGCCACAACGCACCTGGACTGTCCCGTTGCCCGCGTGCTCTGCGGCTTTGCTCCATGTTTCCCAGGTCAGTAGACCAGGGAGACGGAGCAAAGCCGTGGAGGACTTGGGCGATCCCGCCACCCCCG